GGGAATCTATGATGATGGAAGGGAATTAGGAGAAGAAGACGAGAGGAAGGAGGGTTTCAATTTTCGATATGTTCACCTTAAAAAATTTCAGCTTTTAACAATATTTATTTGGTGGGCGATTGAGACGAGCCAAATGCACCGTTACCCCACATTGCACGAGCGTTTCACTACAACCTCACACGTTTCGATCTAAAAAAGCCCCTTGTTCGAACTTAACAACAGTTGCTTCTCAACCTCGCTGTCCGCAAGACGAGAGAGCGAAGAAGAGAGTAGGGCTTCGGGAAGGTCAGTCTTGAAAACGACAAGTCCTTCTTTTTGGAGGTTGGATTCGTTGTTCCGTTTGAAGGTGGGGGACAAGAGGAGAAGAAATAAAGATTACATTTTTGTTTATATTTTAAATGAACGATATTCGGGATACAAGCGTGCGTTCGATATCCGGTCACCTGTTCTTTTGTAGTAACGGTAGGTCTCTTTGGGGAAGTTCAGTGATGGCTGCAGCCGGCCTTAGATTTCTGGGCGTTTGAGGACTCGTGGACGGCAAAGAAAGCAGCTGAGATTGAAATGTCTCTCTTTCTGCGTCTTTTACTTTGACGAAAAGTTTTGCTTTTTGTACCGCAGCCTCGGGCACTGAAAACAAGAATCAATTCCACTAGCTCTCTTGCCTCTGACTGTTACCAAGCGAAGACCTCACAAAATAAACCCTAAGGTAAGTAACCAAAAAGTTAACGAGATCCAGCTCTTCTTAAAAACATTGTTTTTATACTTTTTTAAAATTTTCCTCTCAGAACTAAAATACAAATGACTTCACTGGACGAAAAAAAAAGGAACGCCATTCCTTCTTCCGTTCCAGTAAAAATTTAACGAGTTCCCGTTGCGGCTCCACCGATGCCAAATAGAACGGCGGCGTTCCTACGTTCCTCCTAAAATGAACGCGTTCCAGGATTGGAACGCCGTTCAGTACAACACTGTTCTAGGATAACCCGGTTTTCAGTGAAAGTAGGGTGGCCCTCCCCCGGTATTTTACGGTAGTATGTTTTGTGTATTTGTGTTTAGTTTGGAGGATTATTAAACGGTATAAGAACTGAATATCTATGCAGCAACTGTGGTTATTTTTAAAAATAAGTTTACAATTATTAACCCGACTATAATTTCGGTACATTTTAAATAGACACAGCAAAACAAATGCATCCAACACGCTTTCAATTCACCATTAATCAAGAGTAGGACGTGAGTAATCGTCGAACATTTCAAATGTGACTCTGTGATCTTCGATGTCTGAGATTTAACAAAAAAAGAGAAGAAAAACAATAACGAGGAAAGGAGCACGCCGAGCGCTCGGTTATAAATCACACTTCACACGACGAAAAATAAAATAAAATAAAAAATTTCCTCGAAAAAAAAAAATGTATATATATATAAGCACTTGAAAAGTAGTAGTACACACGGCAGCGCAGGTACTGCAATCAAGACTCGTACCCAGACGTAAAAGAAAAAAATTACACAAACCCTTTTCACAATTACACAGGAGGCACTATATATTTCTTTTGTTTGAAACTGCAATATCGTGGCCTGCCGCGAGAAGCGAAGCGATGAAGCATAACTGCTATAGTCGGAATTTTTCAGGCACCCAAGCAAAACTGCCTCTTAATCATGTATGACGATTTCACACAGACAAAAAGAGTATTGCTTAACACAGACAGCCGATTTATTGCGGTCTAGTGGACGACAATATTTTTTTTTTCAATTGCTATGATTAGAGTACTTTCGTTTTGTAATTGTGCCCGTTTCGGCTGAGGTGTGCGGCTCTTGCAGTAAGAGAGGCTTTAAGTAGCGTTGGACGAGTGCCTCATGATGTTAGAGCTTCTTGGTTTCTGATTGATTCTTTTGAAGGTTCTTATAGGTTAATGTCGAAAGCTCAGTGGCTGCGGAGCCATAATAACATTCCCTGAACTCGCCGAACCTTGTGTTTATTAATAAGGTGTCAGTGATTTTAGATCCATATATTCGACTTTCTATTACAAGATGCAGTAAGATTAATTTATTCAGAGTATCGCCGCACGGAATCGGTCAGAGAACTATTAAAAAAACGCAGGAAAAAACACAAAAAACACGGCTGCCAACGTTGGGTCAGCGGAGAAGAATTGGACGGTTAACGTTTTCTTATCAACTTCACAATGGGTATTATAACATCAGTTCCAGTAACTATATAAGGCTTCTGGAAGAACGTCACCTAGGGTTAATAGCCAGTTCGGAGTCAAGCCGTATATTCCAAAATCTTGATGGTTTTAAAAACTCTTTCCTCGTAAAAAAACCATGGACGAGTGGAATAGTTTGGATGGTGACCTCTTTGTTGGGATTCACAACGCCAAGCGGTTTGAAGGTGCGTTAATTGATTTGTATGCAGGGACGTGCTAGTGCTCCTTGGTGGTGATGACTTCAAGTGTTCTTGTTTAACCGAAATTGTGCTCATGTATTGTGGCGATTGTTCTTAATGTTCGGCTTTTTAAGTTTTGGTTTTGTTTTATTGCTGTAGGCGCCTGAGATAGCCCGAAAGGGCTTTCGGTATTGTAAATAAATAAAATAAATAAGACAAAGGTTGGTGGCAGGGACGTCTACATAAATCTGCCGAAGCTCGGATGAAAATTGGACCATGCGAATATTGTTACAAAGTGCACAATGTTCCTTCCGATTTTTTTAAACTTTCTTTCCGGTGTTGTGGTTTGTTTCACAAGTAAAATTAAAAGACTATTTTAGCCGTGTCATAGTCAGCATTACACGAATATATGCTTGCTTTCAGTTTCCAACAACAGTAGATACAAAAATAAAATGCTAAACTAATTTTCTAATCAAACGTGTACTTTTTTTACGTGTTGCGAAAATAAGGTTTCAAAATTCCTGGTTGTCTACATTCCCACGATATACTAAAGAAAATCACAAACATATTAGGAAAACTAGGGGTTAGATATTTCGAAATCATGTCCCGGGTCTGTCAGGGTTTGACATTACTGTACTACGCTGTAGTTGACCATTTTGTTCGGTGCGGTACCCCGCTATAGCGTGGGGTGTTGGACGCTCACCACGCAATGGTGGTACGTGACAGAGCGCCGTTACGAGTGGCTCAGCCATATGAAAGCGGGCAGGGGTGAGGATTGAACCGAGAATCACTGAGATGCGAAGCGCGAGCCTTTTTCTCAGACGCTGCAAAACCACAGCGATTGGTGAAAGGAAGAAATTTGGAGCACAAGAGGAGAGGAGCGCAAGGAAGCGAACCTTCATTATTCGTAACAACATGAGCATGTAAAACGTCATGTTTGATATCACATTGGTCACTTAATTTTTGGGTATAAATAAATTTTTTGTGCTTGTGTGTTGCCGATCGTCCGCCGTAGATTGCAGTGCTGGGCTATCGGACTGCTCTACGGAAAAGACAACGCGGGAGAATATTTTAGAGTATGGCTTAGAGAGGCCCACAATGACGCTTTCAAGCTTTTGACCATCCTCAAAGAACATAAAGGTTCGCCGGTAACACCGGGGCTATTACATGGCATTAAACTTTTTTTTTTCTCCGTTTTTTTTTTATATCAGAAAGTTATTTATATTTACGCCCTGCCTTAGATTAGAATTAAAATTCGCATAAAAAATCTTTCAAAAAGGCCGCTCCAAACTTAGCTTTTGGAAAAAAAAAAAAAAAACGCAAGCGTGTTTCAGGTCATGTTAAAGAAAATGAAAGCACTTGTGATAACAAAAGTCAAACAAACAAACAAACAAACAAACAAACGGGACTACGTTTCTGTGATGCATTACTGCAGACAACGTGGAATTGTCACAGCCACCGCTCCTGCCGAACAACGTCGTTTTCAGTACGCTTTTTTTTTTTCTTTTTTCTTTTCGAGGCCATTGTGAAGACGTCCGGAACACTCCCGGCGAGCGTCTTGTCCCCGCCGAGAAACTGATTTTGGGAGTAGGGCAGACATGAGTGCGTGGGGGCTTCAGAATGGCGAGCTCTGGTTGGAAGGATTAGTGGGTAGCTGTAAAGCTAGCAGCGTTTGTCTCCCCTGCGCTAGTTGAACGCGTTCGAATACGAAAGCTAAATGCCGGATGCCTGCGGCCAAAAGAAAGACAATTGTATTAAAGAAAAACACATTAAAGGTCCGTTCACACTCTTGCAACCGAGTACGACCGAGAGAGACCAGACCGGTTTTTAAGCCTCTTGCGATCTCTTAGGACCAGCTCCGCTGCACCGCATCCGGTCCTAAGAAGTCGCAAAAGGCTTAAAAACCGGTCTGATCTCTCTCGGTCGTACTCGGTTGCAAGAGTGTGAACGACACGCAGAGCGACCCGCGCATGCGCGCTATACGTGGCTTGCACAGGACGTCATTTCCGTTGCCCTCCAGAGAAGAGGGGAAGAAGGAGCTCCCCTCTTATCAGGATCCTCCTTTGTTCCTCCCGGATTTGCACAGGCGTCGCCATTCTCCTCCCAAAAGATTATAGAAGATTAACCTGTCACTCAAAATTCTTATAAAAGCAGCTTCTCTCTCCTCCTTTTACTTGGTGTTCAAATGTGGGCGAAATGACGTCAGTGCAAGGAGCCTATAAGAAGAGGAGAAGGAGGCGCGATGGAGTAGACGAGAATAGGAAGTGGAGGAAAGAAGGTCAAATCCTTTCGGTTTACATATAAGAATTTTGAAAGAATGGGAATCATCGCGACTTCACGATGATGGTAATTACTATTAATGATGTTACGTCGATGAAGATAAATATAAAAGAGTGTTTAAACCCGTAAAAAGTAACACCCGTGAAAGAGAAAAAGCGATCAATGCTGAATGTTGGCTGAGGTGGTGCTGAATCTATGAAAAGATGATCGCGATTATGGGCATAGTGACCTAATGCGGGACCATTATTTTCGAAATAAATAGCGCGAAGGTCAAAAACAAACTGACAGTACAAGCGCCTATTATTTCATTATTTAATTAAAAAAAGCAACAAAAAAAGCGAGGTACCTCATGGAATACTTGAGGCGGCCGTCGTGTCTTAGCCTGACAAACTTGTTTGGCACGGTGACCTTGTGCAGGTAGGAGCTCTTGCCGTTGAAGAAGTACGTGTCCGGGGTCCACACTTTCTCGAGGAACTGCCAGCTCACCGAGAGCAGCTTGATGTCCCCGTCGAACCGGAGCCTCCGATCGTACCAGGTCTGCCGGAAGTAGCAGTCCATCGAGAACATCTGCACGGGACGCGCCAAAACGCGCTTTTTACTGGAGTTCCATTCGGAGCGCAAGGTTGTCTGCGTCCTTTGCAGGGGTTGAGGTGACGTCAGAACGACGAGCTCTGATTGGTTCTGAATGAAGGACAGTGGGTAGACCTCAAGGCAGGCTTGCTTTGACGTCTATCCACTATCCTTCAATCAGAGCCAATCAGAGCTCAGCGTCTTTCTGACGTCACACAACCCCTGCCAAAGAAGCAGACGAACTTGCGCCCCACAACTACAAGAAGTTTCCGAACGCTGGTCGGGCATTAAAAAAAGTTGGTATAAATAAATTTATGAAAACAGTGTAATAAATCTTTTCACAAAGGTGTCTTCAAATGTTGCACGTATCATACTCAAAATTTTTAAAAGCAAAAGTGTAAAACAAACGATTAATACCAACAATTAAGTCAGAAAACCTGATTTATTCTTTATTCACGCAAAGGAAAACGGTAAAAACCACCTGATTGACGCTGCTGCTCAGAAATTGCACAATACAAAGAAAAAAAAGAAGAGAGAAAAAAGTGAACGCTTTTATCAGATGGATTTTCGAAACCGCATCCAGCAGATCCGAGCTTGTGTGGTACCCAAAGTTCCTACGTAAGAGCTTCCCATAAATAGCGACACTCTTTGAAGCGCCGACTGCGTGACGGTGCAGATTTTATGAAGCGGATGGCGGCACGCAGCAGAAGACTGAACTAAATAACGCCATTTCGTTCCAGCGGAATGTGCTTTCAAGCTTGCCAGGGTCTACGGCGGGCAGCGACGCAGACGACAGAGGTCCAGTAGCGGGGTGTGTTTGGCGTTCGCATTGATAGATGACGCTGCCTCCTTATCGCGACAATAGAGTTATTATAATGTACACTAGACGTTCAACTGGCGCTAGTGTCTATGCGACTTCCGGGAGGCAAATTGAATCAGACAGCAACCAGTCTACTTTTGCGGTGCTCCTGTGCATTCCTTTGGGAAAACGCGCGTCAATTTTATCTCTTCGTCGGAAAATAACATAATCAACTTTTGTTATTTCGGTTGTGCCGGATAGTACGTACTTTTATTGGTATCGTGAAAGTGCAATTGCTTTAGTTACAGTATTTTTCTTTACCACTGAACGATGTTAAGCTTTGCTATATTTCAGGTCCTTACCTCTGTTCCATGGCAAGTATGTAAAAATGGGCGACGATTCTAAGCAAAATAACAATCGAAAGGAATGTAGAGTGTCTTCAAGGTTCACTAGCATTCCGGTGGCGCTTATATAGTTCTAATTTGCCCCTCCTGTTATATGAAAATGACTCTGTCGTGCATCTTTACGATCGGTAAAAAAAAAAAAAAAAAACATTCGAACGCAAAAAAAAAAAAAAATAAAGCACGTGAGCTACGAAAGGTGCGTCTTCTTATAATTTCCTATGTTGGGCAGTTTTTAACGGGCACCTGCTCTCTGGCTTCTCCCTATTTGCCAATATTTGGAGCTTGTGATGATTTGAACCCAGAACAAGCATCTTCGCACTTATTCATGAGCAGAAAGAATAAAACAGTACTTATTTATTGCAAATCTGACTATATCACGTAGCTTTCAATTTATTTTGATCGTCCGCATGCACAAGGAGTTACTTATTCAGTGTTACTGCGTAGTTCTTGCCGTCTTTCTGGTTTTCTACATGTCCTTCGTTCGTTTGGCACGTATATATCCCCCATGCTGGAAAGCGTCGACGCCGTATTCGCGCTAACAGTGTCCGACAGCGCACATAAATACACGTACGAAGCGGTTTTAGTACCGTTTTTCATGCCACGAATTTCAAATAAAAACGCTGCAAGTGACAAATTATTTTGTCTGCGTAACTGAGAAATGTTCTAGTGTGCCTAGTACGTACACATTATTCGTGATATTTGCTCTTACAATCGAGCGCAGAGAGAAAATGCACTCGCTTTTGCCATAGAAATGCATTACCGGAAGTCTATTTCGGACTGCTTGCTGTCTGCTTCAATTTGCAGCAGCATATTAGCGCCAGTTGAACCTCTAGCGTACATTATAATAACTCTATGATCGCGACGGCTCGCGACCACCGTGGTTTATTAAAATGAACATAATCTTTTTGAAATGTACCTTCGGTTAAAAAAAAATGCGGACAATAAAAGCAAAATTTAAAGTAAAAAAACGCGTCTGCATGATGACGGCGCTTTTGCTGCCAACGAATTTCGTCTGCGTGTTGTCTGCTTTCTTTCGCGGGTCGGCTGCACCTTCGGACGCTGCTCTTGATGACATCTGTCAATGCGAACGCCAAACACACCCTGCTAGTGGACGTGGTCGTCTGGGTCGCCGCCCGCCGTAGACCCTGGCAAGTTTCTTGGCGTTATTTTTTTTACAGAAAGAGAACTACACTTCGCAATTTTACAAGAAAAACCGACCTGTAAAATACGCCTTTGGCGAAAAGCTTAGATTGCTATGTGCAGGCGTCGATTTTTACAGTCCATTTTAGATCGAGCCTGGTGACTTGGACCACCCTATGGATGCCTCAGGCGCCGCGATGTTCCTCGGCGCCGAGACGTGCAGAAGGGGCAGCAGCGCTGGCAGGGATTGCGGCATTGCACCCAGCAGACGGAGCAGGAATTTCTCGCTCTTCCTCCCCCTCCACTTCCCTCCTTCCCCCCCCCCCCTCTCCCGCCCCCCCCCCCCCCCCCACACACACACACACACACTCCGGTCCGGTTAAGCCTGGCGTGGCCACCGCGCGCTCGCCACCTGCGCACAGGCCGCAGCGCCAGAGGGGTGGGCTTCTCTGTGGGGTGGCGTTCCTTGGAACTATGACGCGTCGCGGCCATTCGAACTGCCATGATTTGGTTGCTCGTTTTTTGCGGTCACGGACAACACCGGCTGGGCTACATGGGCTTCCCCCCCCCCCCCCCCCCCCCCCCCCAGTGAATGCTTTCTCATCAAAAACAAAACTAAACAGAAATCTCTTCTGGGCAATCTGCGTCGCCGGTTTGCAGACGGTACACGCGTGTAGTGAGAAGTGCTGCCGATAGATGGCGTACGCCGCGTCGAGGGAGCGCCGGCCGATTCGGGTTCTTCCGCGGGATCGTCCGCTAGCATATAACCCGAATCGGCCGGCGCCCCCTCGACGCGGCTTACGCCGTCTCTCGGCAGCACTCCTAATTTCGCGTACGTCGTTTTGCGAACTGGCAACGTAGACTGCCCAAAACAGATTTCTGTTTTGTTTTCCTTTGAACGAGGTAAGTTCTTTCTTTCATTCATTCACTGAAATTTTCCACCACCTGCTTACACCTCTGAAGTAAATCGCAGCGCCATACGTTGAGAAATCGATTTTCGCACGTCGTCTAAGGTGCTTTCAAAACGCTCGTGTACATGCTCTAGGTGGCATTACCTATAGTCACGGCTTGTGGTTTGGGCGCCGTGGGACCCGGGAAGGCAGGGAGCCAGCCTTTTGGGGGGAAAGCGTTTTATTCCGGTTCGAAGTCGTGCTTGCACCAGCTCCAGCGCACCGCGTTCCTTTTCTCTCTTCGTGCACCGTCTCCAGCCTCGGTCCTTTCTTCGTCACTTCGTCTTTTTCTCGTCGCACCAATCAGCGCACACCACGGGTAACAAAAATATAACAATCACAAAGCACGATAACCCGTCGGCGACGGCGCGCGCTGAATCCGCTGCCTCGTGCATGCCACATGCATGACACGCCCCCCCTTTTTTTTTTTCTTTTCCAATAAAAAAATCACAATTTGTGTATTCCGTTACAATCGTAGCATTTAGAAAAAAAGAAAACGAACTGCGCGCACATTCCCGTCCATTCGGCGTGAATGATCACTGAAAGACTGACAAACTTCTTGAGAACATCTAAAGTACATTAACCACAAACAAAACTCCACCCGGCTACAGCCTTGACAACGCATCAGCAGGGACATTTTTCGTCCCTTTTACGTACTGGACATTCAGGTTAAATTTTTGCAACGCTAGCACCCAACGAGTCAGCCTCGCACTATTTGGTGCTGCTGACGCCAAATACTGCAAAGGGTTATGGTCGGTGCGAATTTCAACCTCCGCCCCAAGTAGCCACGTTTCCAACTGACCCAAGGCCCACACAATGGCGTAAGCTTCGCGTTCGATTACAGCCCACCGGGTTTGGGGATCAGTTAGTTTTTACTAAGAAACGCCACCGGGTACTCTTTCCCATCACCTGCCCTTCGGGCAAGACATGCCCCTATAGCTCTATCCGATGCGTCGGTGGACAGAACAAAAGGCTGGCTGGCATCTGGCGCTCTCATGACTGGGACTTCCATCAGGAGACACTTTGCCTTTTGAAACGCTTGTTCCTCCTCGTCACCCCACGGTAACACGTTCGGAGTCCTGTCTCCAGTTCGCGCGGTCAACGGCAACACCACTTCAGCATAGTTCGCAATGTAGTCTCTATAGTAGTTCATTAGCCCTAAAAAGCTCTTCAGTTCTTTCTTCGTCTTTGGCCTCTCCATGATCTGAATCGCCTTGATACGAACGGGGTCAGGAGCATGCCTCCCAGAGCCGATCTGGTGGCCGAGGTACATCACCATTCCCTTGGCAAACCTGCATTTGGACAGCTTCACCGTAAGCCCCACGCGACTTAAGGTTTCGAGAACGCCTTTTACATGCAAAAGGTGGTCTTCCCACTTATAAGAATATATTGCAATGTCATCGATATATGCGCCTGCATATTCTCTGTGTGGTCGCAACACTTCATTCATTACACGCTGAAAAGTTGCCGCTGAATTTTTCAACCCATAGGGCATAACTTTCCATGCGTACTGCCCACGATTGGTTACGAATGCTGTGAACTTCTGAGACCGTTCTTCGACTGGTATTTGCCAATACCCACGGGTTAGGTCCAGTACTGTTATGTACGACGCCTTCGCGACCATCCAGATCATTTCGGTAGCATTATTCATTGGAAAGGCATCGACTTCCGTGATCGCGTTTAATCGCCTATAATCGATGCACA